ATTTCTAATTTAATGACAATATTTCACTTTGGTTTTCCTTTTTCTATGCTGCGATGTATTTAATTAATCCCCTGATTTGTCCCGAGTCCAAATTGCTTTTTGTGTTGTTATTTAATTTAAGTTTTGTATAATGGAAGTTTTTACCTGTTGAGTTTATCGTGCTTTTCTGTTGCTCAGTTAGGTCCGAGACCCCAATGCGACTTCACCATTCTTCCTGCCATGCTGAGTTTCAAATAATGGTTGTTTCCTTTTGGTTTTACTTTATGTAGTTGCTCGTGTCATTTTTCATTTGGCCATTTATGTTACTGGTGTGTGTCCGCGGTTCGTCGCGGCCGCCATTACTGTACGTGGCGCAGCCGTTTCTGCTGCACGTGATGCATTCAATGACATCACGTATATAATACTGAACGTGTTCTTTTTCCCCTTTTTTCTGTACATAATTACTATACGATCACCCATGTTTTGTATTTGGTTTTGTTGTGTATTTTCTCTCGTTATGGATGATGATTTGTGAAGGCGGAACTACCAGGAAAGTCACGGGTTATGTCCGAGACCCCAATGCGATTTCACCATTCTTCCTGCCACACTGTGTTTCAGTCATAAAAAGCCACACTCCAGTGTCTGGTCTATTTGAGGCGGCAGAGACGTGGAGCTCGAGACCGTCACAGTTGTGACCCGTCAGACATATACAAACACACTGCGTAAAAGAAAGACAGCAAATAAAGGATGTTCAGAAAGCTTACGAAACAAGTGAGACGAACAGCGTGGCCCAACCTAATCTGTGAAGAACAACTCTTGGCTGCATCCTGCGAATGGCGTCCAGCAGTTGACGTTGTTCCTTGTGGTCCTCTTTTTCTTTACAAAGTTCCTCCTCGTATTCTGATGTCCTTCTTGTGCACATGGTGCGAAAATTGCAACAGCACTTTCCGCTAACCATCTCCGCGCAGCGATGTGTTGAGCACGAGGGCCTCTTTGTTCGCGGCTAGCAAGCTAACAGAAGCTAAACTACGCGGAGAAACACCAATGTACACTGAGACTACTTTCATCGGACACGAAAAGATGTTTAGGTCCAGCGAGATGATTGTGGACGCCCCGGGTGGGGGTTTTAGCACGTTGAAGGCAAATTCAGAAGAATTTCGTCAAGGGCGTCTGTCCCTCAACGCGCGCCAGTTCCGTACAGCAGTCAAGCCACCAATTGTTCATACTCTGCATGACGGAAATCTGCCGACAGCGAGCGCCGTTGACCACCTTCAAAATAAAAGCTTTTCAACCCGCCAGCGGTTTGGATTGAAAATAATGTTTTAAAACAATTTCTTGGCGGCCAGGCAACGACGAGTTCACCCAGAGAGAATGAAAACCACAAAGAACAGTTCTAAATAGTGATGTGCCCAACTGTGCCGAGGCTCCGATGCGTGTGCCGAGAAAACCGGAAAAACAATCTGCGGATTGCGCTTCCAGGCATGTGTGGATTACGCACGTGGCCACGCCCGAAGCCTCAGAACGCGCTTTGCTACGTCCGAAGCCTCGCGAGGCGGGATTCCTACCTCACCACCAACAAATAGTTTCGCGGGTGATTCGAAATAAAATGGTGCACCGGGACGACAATGACGGACGGCAGCCATCCAGTGGCGGTTCTAGATCAATTTCACTGAGGGGCCCTGGCCGGGGCCAGGGATTTTGATAGGGAGGCACATTCAACCCAAGGGCAAAAAAGACTTATTTGACTTTTTATTCAATCAAACTTTGAAAACATTGCAGTCATAATATTACAGTGATGAGAAGGGAAAAACTGTATAATAATCACATTCTTAAGCTGCCCTACCCTTACAGTAACCGTATTCTGCGATTTTTATGATTTTTGGCAAAACGATCAACAAATGAGTCAAGATTTAGTGCTTTTGCCCTCCTAGACTCAATGCTCAGTACCCCAAGATTACTTAGTCTATCCTCATTCATGGTGGACCCGAGGTATGCTTTCACCAGCTTTAATGTTGAAAAACTCCGTTCGCAAGCAGCAGTGCTCACTGGGATTGCAACAGCGATTTTACAGAGTCTGTAGAGCTCAAAAAAAACATCTTTGTTTGGTTCAATGAACTGTACGAGCTGCACTGTACTCGAGGGTCTCTGCATCCCAGCCTGGATTTTTCTTTCCAAGATTCTTTTGAACTGATGTAGTTCATGCCCCAGGTCATCAATATTTGAATCATACAGTTCTGCAAATGAAAACAGATCCTTCTCTTTGAGGAATGTATCTTTTTGGGGATTTAGAGCTGGAATGCTATTCATGATTTCACAGTTTTTACTTGAAAATCGTCTTTCAAGCTCACTGAGCATAAGATCAATGACCGGGTAGAAAAAGTTTGTACGAAACCAGTCCTTATCTCTTTCTGGCTCTCTCTGCCCAAGAGTGGTAAGTACACAGTGCTGGCTGAGTTTTGAGCTGAGTGTTTTTGGTCGTTTTTCAGCTGGTGGTGTTGGATCACACTGCCCAAAAACATTCAACACTTCATCCCACACGTCATCAAAAAACGACTCTTGCCTGAAATCACTCAGTGTCTTAACTAATGCTTCAACTAAATCTACAGCTTTTGAAATGTCAAGTGTTAAAGACTGCAGGATATCAGAGAGAAGCTTTGTTTCTCCAAACACTTTACGAAGCACAACAAGATGCACTGTGAATTCAAAATTTATCTGTGCTAGCAGACCTCGAGCCTCAACAGATCTTTCACCATGTTCTTCGGCAATCTCTTGCAGGACTCGCTTCAGGGCAGGCAGTCGATCCATGATGTTACGTAGAGCTATAAATCGACATGCCCAACGAGTGTCACTTAAACGCTGGAGCTCTCTTGGTGCACCTTCAAACATATCTCTTTGTATGGCAAGCCATTTAGGATGGACAGCTGATCCAGATGTGAACACATACAGTTTTTCTAGTAAATAGAAGAACTGTTCTACCTCTGGGATAGCTTTGACTGTATCTACAAGAACCAAATTTAGACAGTGGGTGGTGCAATGAATGGAGAAGGCATATTTTGCTCTCTCTCTGATTCTCGCCTGTACCCCGGAATGCTTCCCACTCATGACAGAAGCCCCGTCATAAGCTTGGCCTACAAGGTTCTTTTTGTACTCTAGACCAGGGGTCCCCAACCTTTACTCACGTCAAGGCACACTTCTCGGTCAGGTGACCGACGACGCTCATAAACAAAACGCTAAAGCCCGCAAAATGAGTAAAAATGCTGCTTGGAGACCACAAATGACAGCGGCCTTAAAAGTACGGTCGAAACAACTGGATCAAAGTTATGGCTGAATACTCTGAGATCGCCACAATAGCACTGTTGCTATTTCCGACATCCTACCTGTGTGAAGTGGGGAGTTTCTGCAGCAACGGCGACTAAAACAAAATTACGAAGTAGACTGGACATAAACCACACACTTGAGGTGTCATTGTCTCCTATTACCCCGAGATGGGACTGTCTGATTGCAGAAAATCAAGCTCGGGGCTGTGGTGAGTCGTCATTTTCATGCACTTTGAATTTGCGTTGTATCGTATTTTGAAGGCATTAAACATTACCAGAGCGATAAGAGTGTTGCGACCAGATTAGACGCTACTTGTGTTTATTATTATATTTCGAAAACACCACAGTTTTCATGCAGCTCATACCATATTATTTTGTCGTATTAATTCGCCACACCTTAAATGGCGGTCCCTGAAAATATTGTCTGACTTTAACCGGTCCGTGGGGCAAAAAAGGTTGGGGACCCCTGCTCTAGACCAAAACTTTCCAATATGTGGATTATTTTCTCACTAAGCCCTGCTGCATCGAGCTTCTCTGTGGATTCAAAATGGAGGAAACTTTCCTGGATAGCTCCATTGTAGTAGTACCTTAGTACAATTGAGATCTGTTCTTTTTTCTTTACATCTTTTGTTTCGTCTGCTATGATGCTGAAAACTTCACTGTTTTTCACTTCTTCTGCAATTTCAGTTCGAACCATGTCTCCTAAACAACCCAGAACCTCATTCTGAATAATTTTGCTTGTGTATTTTGCATTATGAATGGATGTCAACCTTTTCTTAACAGCTTTGTCATGGTTTGCAATTGTGTCAAGAATTGCTTTAAAATTCCCTTTGTTATCCGAGTCTGCAGACTCATCATGACCTCTTTGAGCTACGTTTTGAGTGGCAGTCAGTAATAGAACTTCCCCTATTGTTTTTATGTATTCTCAATTTTCTTTGATGTGTCTGTTGTGCTCCTTATTTAAGGCAACGACTAGTGTTGCATCAGCTGCTACAGCTCTCTGATAGTCCCTCCATGCAACCATGGCTTCCTTGTGGCGCTCAGATCTTGCATGCAATGCAAACCCTCCTGTTTTGTAAGATGCTTTCTTCCAGTTCCAACAACAAGGAGTTGCTGTGGAGGATGCAGAACAGCTGGCACAAGACCGCCGGCACTGGAAAAACCTGGTTCATCTGGTCGGCTCAACGCACAGGGACGGGACCCCCGGACCTTCGCTGGAGCACTAACTAACTAACTAACTAACTTTCTTCCAGTTTTTGAAACCAACTGGTGAGTCAAAGACTGTGTCTTGGCTATTAGGAGGGCTAAAATGTCTGCAAGCGTAACAATACGCCGAGTCCATCTGTTGAGAATATTCGAGCCAGGGGTGGATATGGTACCAGCCTGCCTTGAAGCTCCTTCTCCTGTCCCCCATCAGGGTCCTGGGAAACTGTTTTAGCTCTGGCTGCATTGGCGAGTCCTCTTGACAAATACTGATGTCTGTGGACAAAGACAAACCAAATGGATGTAAACACAAGTTCTGCATGGACACAGCATATACACTAACCCGCTACGCTTACATTGCTGAGGCACTCAGACATACACAATTGTCTAAAATGAATTGATTGATGCTATTTATTAATTGTATTAATTATTTTTTTAATTGTAATCAAAAAAATATAAATTAATACATTCTCAAGCCTGACCGGGGACGAAAATTGCAAATACACTGAAGCTAGATGTTTTACATGCATATAATTATCCAAATTTTAAAAGGCAATGTCTGATATATTGTTCCTGTTAAATAAAAATTAAAATAAAAAGGGAGACTAAAAAAGTTGCGCACGCACGTAAGCACACACACACACACACACACACACACACACACACACACACACACACACACACACACACCACACACACACACACACACACACACACATACACACACACAGAACAGGATCGTGTTCTTTTCAGCATCACATACCTGATGGTCCAGTGCTTGTTGAAGCGCAAATATCCTCTGTCTGTGTCTCACACTCCACTTCTATTACAGTCTCGTCTTCCTCATTCTCAGGATCTTCATTTGTATCCCTTTTCTGCTCTGTGTCCTCGCTCTGAAAATAAATGTATCCCGTGTCCTCTGACTCTCCCTCTCTGGTGCTTTCAACTTGCTCCTCTTCAGAATTTTCACCACCATTATCTGACTCTCTCTCTGTGTCTGGATCAATTTGTTTCTTTTTCAGATAGAAATATGATGTAATGTCCGTTTTTCTTTTCATTTTTAACGTTAAATGTTGAAGTGAAGAGGAATTAGAGTTAATAATGCTACTGTTGGGGGCTTGTTTCGTTTTGTGATTTTACATCGAAAATATAAATGGTGTGTCGAAAATAGCACTCGTGTCTTGGTAATTTGCTTCTCTGGAGACTGCTTCTCATTTTCCCGCTCATTTTTAAGGAGTGCAGCGCACTAAAGGTTCCGACTAGAATGTTAAGCCACGCACTTCGGTTCAGCTACTTACAGGAACTGTTACAGTGCAGTTTCTGCTGTTACTGGAGATATTTTAGCGGACTGTAGTCACTAGTTTTACCAGCATGGATGAATTGAATACTTAATTTACCTTTCTAAAAAACTGTCGAATATCCATCCTGTCGACTCAACCTGACTTTCGGCAATGAACTGTCAGTTGTTGCATTAAGGAAACCTGGGAGATTTAACATTACAATTATGGCAGGTTATCGAAATATAATTGAAAATGGCCACATTACATTGAATTCGATGCAATATATTAGCAAAAGTAAAGGAAAAATAAAAAATACTTTTTTTTAAATAATGCAATGAAATTATTTAGGGGGGCTAAAGACATTTTTAGGGAGGCTGAAGCCTCCCTAAAATAGGCCTAATGACGCCGATGTAAACACACCTGCTAAACCCCAGTGGAACGAATAAAAGACGCTGTGGACAAGACAGTTGTCGTAAAAAATATATTTGGCCAAAAAGGGAAAAACACAGATTGGCAGAAAATCGTGTCCGTCCAACTTCGAGTGTCGCCTCAGCTAACTTAGCTTAGCTGTTTTCGTGTGTGACGTCATTTGCGTCGGCGCTGATTGGTTGAAATCAAAAGACGCGCTTGCGTATATGTACGTGCTGAAGCACGCACAGCAGAGAGCAGCAGACTATCACTGCTGAGGCTCGCTTAGCTTGAGTGGCGTCGCCACAACAGTAATACTCTCGCCTCGCATTCTCATGGCCTCGCCATATCTCGGAGGTTTCGAAATGTCGGCCCGAACGGAAGCCACAAAGGGTACACGTGTGCAAACAAATAGAAGATTAATCATTGAATGTCGAGTATTCGAAGAGCGTTTTGTGTAAACTAATTCATGTGAGATAGGCCATGTGTGTGTGTGTGTGTGTGTGTGTGTGTGTGTGTGTGTGTGTGTTTTTTCTGGAATTTTCAGAAAAGTCCACTTTCATCTCTGGTAAAACAATGCTACAATGCTATCATACCACTTGGCAGGTCTTCATGATTTGCAACACCCCTCCACCATAACCCCAAGCGCCCCTCCATCATAACCCCTAGCACACGTCACTCCCTAACGCTTGAATGAAGTGTTTTTATTCAAAGAGTAGAACAGTCAGGGTAAGTGTTATTTATACTGAGAAAAAAAAATAAAAGCATATGATATACATTTATGAATTAATGTTTTAGTGCAGTAGTTTCTCAATATGAAGTAAATCAACACTCAACAGGCATGACATGGCACGGAAGACAAGTTGAGAAATGACTTTGCATTGAAGTCAATCACTGACTGCAGAAAAAGCGGTAATCTCTAAACATTCTCTGAGTACTACTATTGTTACCACTACCACTAAAACTCCTAAAGTGTCCTTGGGTGTTTTGAAAGGCGCTTCTCAATAAAATGTATTATGATTACTGTGGCGTGTAACTACAGCCACAGGGTAATGTCACGTCCGTGTGACGTTACGGCCGTGAGGCCATAAAGTGTTGAGTTGCCGGAAAGCGTGGATATAAAAGCGTTGCGACTGACAATAAACAGCAATGAGCACAGAGTCAGTTTCCCAGCCTTTTATTGTCCACATTACACAACAACTACAGTACTAATACAACTGCTTCTAATACTACTACTATTAATACTACTACTAATACTACTCCTAATACTACTATAGCATCAACACATTTTCATTACATTTCAAAAACATCAACACTTCCAGCATTTCTGCTGACAACCGTGCCCTGTGTAGCTGCATGATAGTGCCCCCCCCTGCTGAAAACTCTCTCAACAGGGGCACTGCTCGCAGGTACCGGTAGGATATGTTGCGCCAGCAACAACAAAGCAGGATACTAAACACTGGCCATCCCGCCAGGTCTCCAAAATGCCACTGACTCCTCGACCGCTACCTCGTTCTCCAGATAGGAAGCTAACTGGGCACGCGGACTCTCTTTGCCACCAGTTTTTGCTCGCTTTCTCTTCTGCTTGTATTTGGCCGCGAACTTCGACATCTTTGCCGGTAAATCACAATGTAAATGTGTATAGTTGACGAGTTGATATGAGTTAATTTAATACCTTCAACTTCACAATAATAATAAATAATTCAATCAAACATGATTTTAAACTATGTATTATCAATATTCATTATTCTAAACATGAGAAAGCATTTAGCAAACATAACTGGAATCCAGCAAAAGGACTCCACTTCCCAACGGCCAAACCCAGAAGTGAAGTGCCGGCATTATTGACTCCAGCTGTAACGCAAATTACTTGGTTCAAACAAATATTCTAGTGTCACAGCACAAACGTGACAACTGTGCAAAATTAACTAAATAAAAGACACCACTGTTAAAGAAAGACTTTCCACGCTATTTAAACTGCCGATCGCGAACGGTCACTGACCGTGATTGAAACTAACTGTGATGCCTCTCTTTATATGTTGCGCTAACTGTCACCTGTCAGTGGCAGCCTCGCCCCTCTTAAAGAGCCAGATAAGTCAAACAATATGTAGTAATAATAGTTTCCCTGGATGGAGTTTGTTTGATTTCCTCATGATTTTTGCCGTCCTCGGACCCGGGGACTTGACTCCAAGGCCAAGGACCAAGGACTTGCCTCCAAGGCCAAGGATCAAGGACTTGACTCCGAGGCCAAGAAACAAGGACCGACTTTCGGTCCTCAGCCAGTCCTCGAGGCCAAGGACCGGCTCGAGGACCACAACACTGTTTCCTATATGTTTATTGGTCGCTACCTCGCGGATTTTCGTTTATCGCGGGTGGTTTTGGTCCCCATTAACCGCGATAAACGAGGGATTACTGTACTACGATTCAACAAAAAGACTGAAAATCTCGACAGATGCGTCAAAAGACGGTCCTGGAGCTGTCTTACTACAAGCAGCAGGTGAAAATTGGAAACCTGTAGCTTATGCTTCTAGATCCATGACAAGAACTGAAACAAAATATGCACACATTGAGAAAGAATGTTTGGGATTGGCTTATGGACTGGACATTTTCCATTGCTATGTGTATGGCCTTCCAACATTCACAGTTGACACAGATCATCGCCCATTAATATCCATCATCAAGAAGAACTTGAGCAAGATGTCGCCAAAAATCCAGCGCCTCATTATGAAAATGCAAAGGAATGATTTTGAATTAATTTACACACCAGGCAAACATGTAGTGTTCGCAGATGCGCGATCAAGAGCACCAGAGCTACACCACACAAGCTCCACTGAGAGTGATGTCAAGGGTCATGTAAACCTCATAGTGGAGTCCCTGTCGGTCTCAGATTCAAAATCAAAACAAATAAGGGAGGAAACCATGAAAGACACAGAAATGGAGACGGTGATGACACATATGAAAGAAGGCTGGCCGAATGGCTCATTCAAAAAGTATTGTCACATCAGGTCAGAGCTCAGTGTTACAAATGGACTATTACTGAGGGACAAAAGGATTGTCATTCCGCACAGTATGAGGACAGCCATACTGCAAAGGACACATGAAGGATATTTCGGAGTCGAGAAATGCAAGAGAAGGGCCAGGGAAGCCGTATACTGGACTGGCCAGGCATCAACAAGGAAATTAAAAATATGACTGCAAAGTGTGAAACGTCAAAGG